TTACATCTAAGTGTGTAAGAAGAGGCTTACACCTAATTGAAAGCTTGGAGTCATTCAATTTCCCTATAGTTACAGGGCTTTTCAAATTATCTGTTTTCATATTGGGTGAGTCATGGTAGTTTGTGCATTTCAAGGAATTGGTTCATGTCATTTAACTTGTTGGACTTTTTTATATGTAAATGTTATATAGTATTCCTCTGTTATGCTTTTGATATCTACCGTGGTCTGTAGTGATATCCCCTTTATCATTATTCCTACTGACAAGTTGTGTCTATTGGGTTGTTTTTTGTTTGTTTGTTTTAATTTATTTTGAGACAGGGTCTTGCTAAGTTGCCCAGGCTGGCCACATACTTGTGATTCTCCTGTCTCAGTCTCCTCTGAGTCACTAGGATTACAGGCTGAAAGGATAAAAGAAACTGAAGTTAAAGACCAGGCATTGTAAAGCTTCTAAGCTGCAAAGCCTGAGTTAAAATGTAAAAGACCAGGTATTGTTAAGTTCCTATGCTACACTCAAAACCTGAAATTCCTGTAGCTGTTAGGACAATTCACAGGACTGCCCAGTAGATATTCCCCCTGACCATTTAGTTGTTAAATAACCTGGGCCCTGTGCAGTTTGGTTTGGGCCCTGAATGCCTACGTGCCAATCAGTTTAAATGTGTACCCCGCTTTAGGACTAACCTATCACCCCCGCCCGACCTGTTCCCTCCAATGAATGTACTAATCATGTTCGAGAGTTGTTGTTCGATTTTCCCGCGCCTCATGATGATTTGCTCTGATGTATGCAAAGCCCCCGCCCTCCCCAAAAAGTGTATTTAAGCACTGCTCAACCCCTGCTTGGGGCTCTTGGCCGCTCTCCCTTCTTGAGTGAGCACAGAGTCCCAGCATGCTGGATTCTTCAATAAACCCCCTTTTGCGGTTGCATGAGTCAGTCTCTTGGTGGTCTCTTCCTCCGACGTTCGCCGGACCCTTACAAGGCTTGTGCCACTACACCCAGCAACTTTTTTTCAGTCTTACCAAAGGTTTATTTATTTTTTCTTTTTTGTGATGATATGGATCAAACCTAGGGCCTTTGTATGCAAGACAAGTGGTCTGCCACTGAACTACATTCCCAGCCCTAAGATTTGTTGAGCTTTTCATATAACCAGCTTTTTGTTTCATTAACTTTTTCTCTTTTAATTTCATTGACTTCTTCCCTTGTATTTATTATCTCCAATCTACTGCAAGGTAGTAGTTGAAGTCTGTATTCCCTGCTCTGCCACCATTGACATCCGGATGAGGAGGGCCACTTTCTTGCTAGTGTGAGAGTGTGGGAGTTCACACTCCCATTAGGCTTTCCTTGAAGGGATGTGGGTGCTCCTGGTATGTACTCCATTAATAATTTCCAGGGAGTGGTGACATGGTGTTAAAGAGGAGGTTATAATAGGTGGCAATAGAAGTCTTGACTACACTGCAGTGTAGCTTGGAGGTAGACAATAATAGCTTCATTATTACTCAGGCACTGCAGATAGTCTCCATTGCAGTTACAAGGGGCTTTGCTGATCAAAGGCCCAGCTGCCCAGGGGGCTTCTCTGACACTATGGGTGATTGGGGCATCTGATTTCAGTTTGGCCAGGGTGGAAATCAAGGCTTCCCAATAGGCTTTTGCTGGTGGAAAAGGTGGGCACAGGTTTTTTTTGTGTGTGTGATATTTGACTGTTTATTGATTATTGGAGTGATTATTGTGTATATTTTTTTCAATCTATCTTGCAAGGCTGCCTCTTTCCTGTTCCTTTGAGTAGTTTTTGTTTTGTTTGTTTTTTGTTTTTAAAACAGGTATTTTTATTTGTACACAGATATATACTTAGTATATATTTTTTGCATTTTAATACTATTTTTTATTCTAATTAGTTATACATGATAGTAGAATGCATTTTGACACATCATATGTAAATTAGTATAACTTCTCATTCTTCTTTTGTACAATGATATTGAATCACACTGTTTGTGTAATTATATATATACATAGGGTAACAATTTCCGATTCATTCTACTATTCTTCCTATTCCCATACCCCTCCCCTCTCTTCACTTCCTTCTGCCTAATGCAAAGTATCTCTATTTTCCCTAGCCACACACTTGCCATTGTGAATTAGCACTCACATATTTGGAAAAAAAACAAAAAACATTCACCCTTTGTTTTTCGGGGGGATTGCCTTATTTTCCTTAGCATAATATTCTTCAGCTCCATCCATTTACCTGCAAATGCCATAATTTCATTCTTCTTTAAGGCTGTGTAATATTCCATTGTGTATATATCACCACATTTTCTTTATCCATTCATCAGTTGAAGGGTATCTAGGTTGGTTCCATAATTTGGCTATTGCAAATTGAGCTTCTATAAACATTGATGTGGCTGTGTCACTGTTGTATGCTGATTTAAAGTCCACTGGATATAAACTGAGGAGTGGGATAGCTGGGTTAAACAGTGGTTTCATTCCATGTTTTCTGAGGAATCTTCATATTGTTTTCCAGAGTGGTTGCACCAATGCAGTCCCCTTTGGGTAGCTTTTGGGTATTTTTTTTTTAGTTTGTACCTTTTGGTATTTCAGGAATGCCGATGTCATGATAACCCATTTTGGAGTATATAAGGATAAAAGAAAATTAAGTGAACTCACCACTGTGTTCCTTGGGTCCTGAGTTCTTTTGCCAATCTGCTGCCTTCTCTACTGTTTGCATTTTTTTTTTTTTTTTTTTTTTTGAGGTGGATACTGGGGATTTAACCCAGGGGAGCTTTACCACTAAGTCACATCCCCAGCCCACTTTTATTTTTTATTTTGAACCAGGTCTCATTAAGTTGCTTAGGGACTCATTAATTTGCTGAGGCTGGCCTCAAACTTGAGATACTCCTGTCTAAGCCTCCTGAGTTGTTAGGATTACAGGTACATGCCACCATGCCTGACTGTTCATAATTTTCATGTGTTTGTTTTTATATAGGACAGTGGGAGTGTTTAGCTGTACATAGCTAGAGAAATAATGAAAATAAGGATTACCCTCTCTCTTCAGTGAAGTCTATTGTCACATCTTTACAACTTTAATGTTAATTCTTGGCCAGTATTATATGTTAAATAATCACTGACATAATGGAACCCAGTTTGGGGCTTGTCTTTTTTACTTTGAACACAGTAATATTTTGATTATCTATAGTTCTATAACAAAGTTGACTATATTAATCTTTCTTTTAAAGCTTTTCCTTTTTGTTTCTTGCTTAACAAGTCTTATTTCTACCCCAAGATAACAAAGATAATTTACATTTCATTGTGAATTTTGGGCTAGTCAGCTTTCTGTTAATATAACAAAATACCTGAGATAAACAGTTTATTTTTTAAAAGATTCACTTGGGCTCAAAATTTTGGAGGGTTCAGCCTGTGATGGGTTGGCCTCATTGCTTATGGTGGGCTGTGGTGAGGCAGCACATCATGGTGGGAGTACCTGGCAGAGCAAAACCACTTGGCCTCACCAGCCAGGAAGGAACAGGGAATGTGGAAGAAGGGGTACACACAATCCCAAAGAGTAAGGACCTCTCACTCGGTCTGATCTGGTATTGTGTATTCAGTTCTATTTTGTTTATTTTACATAAATATCCCACTATCTTAATTGTTGTAGCTTTGTAGTATGTCTCATTATTTAGTAGTCATTTCAGCTGATCAAAGTTCTGTTAAATCTCTATTGGAATTGCTGCTAAAACATTGAATCTATAGATATGTTTAGGGAGAATTGGCATCTTTACCATTGTGAATATGTTTTTTTCACTACTTAGACTTTTTTTAAAAAAAGATTTTTAGATCGGACATTGAATTCAGAGGAGCTTTACCACTGAGCTACATATCCAGTTATTCCCATTCCAGTTGCCCCCAAGAAGGTCTGGCTGTTACCCATGCTCACTTTAAACATGTGATCCCCTTACCTCAGCCTCCCATGTAGCTAGGGTAACAGGTGCCACCATGCCTGGCATTTAAATGCTTTCAGATATAACTTAACATTCTCCACAGTGATATTTAGACATCTTTTAAAATTTATTCTTAATTAATATATTTGTGTTGCTGTTATTAAGTGGATTGATTCTTTATTTACTTAGTGGTGCTGAGGATCAAATCTAGGGCCTCACATAGACTAGGCCTGCACTCTACTGTTGCACAGCATTTCTAGCCCCAAACGAATTTTATTAATTAAAATTTTTGTTTCCTACTTGATATAAAATTGGCCTTTGAATTATTTTGTGTTGGTTCTTTTTTTTTAATATTTTTTAGTTGTAGATGGACACAATACCTTTATTTTATTTGTTTATTTTTTTGTGGTGCCAGGGATCGAACCCAATACCTGCTACATGCTAGGCAAGCACTCTATCATTGGACCCACAATGCTGGCCCCTGTGTTGGTTCTTATATGCTATATTTTAAAATGTATTGCAAGCTCTTCTAAGCTCATATTAGATTTTAATGTACTTACTATTTATTGTTTTACTATACATTATGGAAGAGGATTGTTTTCTCCTAAAGCAATGCCATTTGCATTTTTGTTAAAGGGAAACAGAATAGTGTTTCATATTATCCTGTCAAAGTTTTAACACAAAATGTTTGTGCTCCACTCCCAGAAATTTTGATTCTGTAGGTCTAAAGAGAACCACAGTTCCTTGTTCATTTAAAAATCTATGTGGTTCTGTACATTCCTGTTTAAAACCACTGCCAGGGAAGTTGCTAAACAGTAAATGTAGTAGCTAATGGGGGTGTCTATTTTAGGAGAGGGCATATCATTTAAAATTATGAACATTTAAGCATCATTTAATATTTTGAGTATGATATATGTAAATAAAAATATATACATAAAATGAATTGCTTATGAACTTAAATAGGCATGAATTTTATATGAATGGACATTGTAGAAGAACCCAGTTACATTGTAGATGTGTTGTTTAGTACTCAGTATATTATATTAAAACTTAAAATGTGATTTTGTCTTTCCTAGTTGGAGTCATTCGATGCCCAGTATGCAGCCAAGAATGTGCAGAGAGACACATCATAGATAATTTTTTTGTCAAGGATACTACTGAGGTTCCCAGCAGTACAGTAGAAAAGTCTAATCAGGTAAGTGGATAATTTTGAGCTTTGAGCTTTTGCCAGCTATTGATGAGGCACCTAAAATCCTGGAGGGCTCAAATGAAAGGAGCCAAATTTTAGACCATTAATTTATGAAGGTGTATAGAATTTTTAAGTATATAAATAATAATGAATGGTTCAATTTAAACACAGCACAGACACCCATGATTACATCCCTGTATTCCCCATCCTCTCCAGAGAAAAACATTATTCTATATTTGACAATATTTCATTTCTTTATACTTAAATATATATTGTCAATTAGATTTTAATTTCAATCTCCTTTTTCACTTTTTTTCTGTTCTAATGATACCTATGAAATACATCATGTCTTTGATTAGTGAGGAGTCTGCTTTTGTTAGGAAAGCTATTTTTTCTATATGGTATTATTTTAAAAGCCTCATTTGGTAGCATTGTCCCAGGCATTGGATTTAGAGATACAATGGTATCTTCTTTCCTACTTTCATAACCTATATAGAACATTTCTATTGGCCACTTAAATCTGGACGTCAGGTCCCTAAGGAAGATCCTTGGTACTGTAACTAGGGTTAGGTTAGCCACACTGAGATAGGCATATTTGTCTACTTGTGGAACATGATTCATCAGTGATTCCTCTAGGCAGTTCCTTTCATTTGTAACAGAAGATCTGGAGAGGAACTAAATTTGGTTAGGAACTAAATTTGGTTAGGGAAACATGATTATTAGTTGTTTTTATCAGAAATTTGTTTAGTGCACATGCTTATTTTCTGTGCTCTTTTTTTCATTTTTAGCTTTTTGTTTCTAAAGGGAAGTACAGGAATGCAGGGGTTACTTTATAAATGAGCATAGCCATTACTAATTAAAATTATTTTTGTACCAGGCATGTAGCTCAGTTATGGACCTTTTGCCTAGCATGTGCAAGGCCTTGAGTTCTAACCTGAACACCACAAAATAAAAGTCTTTTTGTTGTTTCAAAGGTATTTACAGTTATTCCTTTATATGAACTTTCATTAAAGGCCAAAATTGCACTTTCTTCACAGGTACTTTCTAATTATTGTGAATCAGCTTTCAAGAATGGAAATGGGTTGGGGGTATAGCTCATTGGCACAGTATATGCTTAGCATGCTTTGGTTCCTGGGTTCAGCCTCCATCACCCAAAGGGAAAAAAGAAAAAATGGCATTGGTTTTGAAGACCATAATATGGGTCCTATGGGTGCTCATCACCATTGGGTTAGTCATTTTTTCTAGGCCTTTCGTGGTAATAATCTAACAAATCTTTTTATTAGAAAGAAAGACAATGTAAGTATTTATCTATTTCTAAGTCAAATTTAGAATTAATAGGGTTGTACTTTTTTATTTTATATGTGTATCTCTTCTATTCTGGAAACATTGGTTCTTTATTAAATTGGCCATAATTATTTTCTCCAGGAAAAATAAATATCCACTATACATTATACGAGTATATTATATTTGTCTTGGTGCAACAAGGAACTATTTTAATTCTTAAAATGAATTGTTAACTAACTATAAAATTGATTTCTGTAAAGATCAAAAGAAAGTTCTTTAAGTATTCACCAAGGGAGTAACTTTTGGGAAGCAGCTGAGGAAACAAAAGCAAAAGATGGCATTATTTAAAGAGGAAGGATTTTGTGGAATGTCACCATGGCTGGTGCTGGGTCTGAGTCTTCAGCTTGGAACTCAGATCTCTAAACCCTTGGTGCTGGTGTCTCTGAAGTAGGTTGCAAGAAAACTGGTTCTAGAAGTATTGGTTAAACTCCCAACTAGAGCTGACTATTTCTATAAGAAGGAACTGGTACTCCTGGGGGAAAGTAGCATTGTCTGGAATGATGTTCCACAGAATTCACAAGCAGAGAGCTAACTGCAAGCCTCAAGTCTCCTCTTCTGATGTTGCAACTTCCTTGCAGACCACCAATTGTTAGAGTCTAAAGTGAAACCAACTGCAACACATAAACGTAGCAGAATAAGAGTACATGGAAGAGTAAAGTTGGAGCCTAAAGGAAATTGTAGAGTGTAGCAAAACAGAAAGCAAGAGCCATGGCTACATGTATTAACTGGAAGGTGTACAATCAAATCTCTCTTTTTTTTTTTTTGTACTGGGATATAACTCAGGGGCAGTTTTCCACTGAACTACATCCCAGACATTTTTTACTTGTTATTTTGAAACACGGGCTTACTAAGTTGCTGAGGTTAGCCTTGAACTTAAGCTTCTCTTGCCTTAGTCTCCTGAGTTGCTGGCATTACAGTTATGTACCAGTGCTCCTGGCTCAAATCATCATGTTTTAAAGTTACATATTACAAAAAAAAAATTTTTCTCCCTGTGGTGATAAGTCATCCACTTGATAGACAGCTATGGTTGCTTTATTTGGTTTTGATGTTTAGGGATTTAAGTTTTAAAATTTGTATTATTATAACTACATTTAAAATATTCATATACTTCCAAAATAAAATCTAAAAAAAAAAAAAAACCAGGATATTTTCACAGAGCTTCTATCCCTATCATATCTACCATATTTCTTCCCTACCTTATAGGTAACCAATTACTACTTTTATAGTTATCCTTTTGGGGTTTTTTTATATGACAATGGAATGCATTACAATTCTTTTTATACATATAGAGCACAATTTTTCATATCTCTGGTTGTATACATAGTATATTCACACCAATTTGTGTCTTCATACATGTACTTTGGCTAATTATGATCATCACATTCCACCATCATTAATAACCCCATGCCCCCACCCTTCCTCTCCAACCCCTCTGCCCTATACTAGAATTCGTCTATTCTTCCTGTGCTCCGTCTCCCTATCCCACTATGAATCAGCCTCCTTATATCAAAGAAAACATTCCGTATTTGTTTTTTTGGGATTGGCTAATGTCACTTAGCATTATCTTCTCTAACTCCATCCATTTACCTGAAAATGATTTTATTCTCTTTTATTGCCAAGTAATATTTCATTGTTTATATATGCCATATTTTTTTTATCCATTCACCTATTGAAGGGCATATAGGTTGGTTCCACGGTTTAGCTATTCTGAATTATGCTGCTATAAACATTAATGTGGCTGTGTCCCTGTAGTATGCTGATTTTAAGTCCTTTGGGTATAGACTGAGGAGGGGGACAGCTGGGTAAAATGGTGGTTCTATTCCCAATTCTCCAAGAAATGGGAGAATACATACTTCTCTGTTCTTCAGTAAAAATGCCTCAGGACTCAAAATTTATCAGGAGCAAGAGAAACATTGCTTTAAAAAGCCAAAAGCAATTTAGCTATTGTGAATTGTGCTGCTATAAACATCCATGTGGTTGTGTCCCTGTAGTATGCTGTTTTAAGTCCATTGAGTATAGACCAAGGAGAGGGATAGCTGGGTAAAATGGTGGTTCCATTCCCAGATTTCCAAGGAATCTCCATACTGCTTTCCATATTGGCTGCACCAGTTTGCAGTCCCACCAGCAGTGTATGAGTGTACCTTTTTCCCCACATCCTTGTCAACACTTATTCTTGTTTGTATGCATAATAGCTGCCATTCTGACTGGAGTGAGATGAAATCTAGAGTGGTTTTGATTTGCATTTCTCTAATTGCTAGTGATGACGAACATTTTTTTCATATACTTGTTGATTGATTGTATCCTCTTCTGAGAAGTGTCTGTTCAGGCCCTTGGCCCATTTATTGATTGGGTTTTTGTGTGTGTGTGTGTGCTTAGCTTTTTGAGTTCTTTATATAGCCTAGAGATTAGTGTTCTATTTGATGTGTGAGGGGTAAAGATTTGCTCCCAAGATGTAGGTTCTCTCTTTACCTCACAGATTGTTTCTTTTGCTGAGAAGAAACTTTTTAGTTTGAATCCATCCCATTTATTGATTCTTGGTTTTAATTCTTGTACCACAGGAGTCTTATTAAGGAAGATGGGGCCTAATCCCACATGATGGAGATTAGGGCCTATTTTTCTTCTATTAGACATAGAGTCTCTGGTTTAATTCCCAAGTCCTTGATCCATTTTGAGTTTGAGTTTTGTGCATGGTGAGAGATAGGGGCTTAATCTCATTTTGTTGCATATGGATTTCCAGTTTTCCCAGCACCATTTGTTGAAGAGGCTATCTTTTCTCTAGTGTATGTTTTTGGTGCCTTTGTCTAAAATAAGATAATTGTAGTTTTGTGGGTTAGTCTCTGTGTCCTCTGTTCTGTACCATTGGTCTATCAGTCTGTTTTAGTGCCAATACCATGCTGTTTTTGTTACTATTGCTCTGTAGTATAGTTTAAGGTCTGGTATAGCGATGCCACCTGCTTCACTCTTCCTGCTAAGGATTGCTTTAGCTATTCTGGGTCTCTTATTTTTCCAGATGAATTTCATGATGGCTTTTTCTATTTCTCTGAGGAATGCCATTGGAATTTTGGTCAGAATCGCATTAAATCTGTATAGTGCTTTTGGTAGTATGGTCACTTCGATAATATTAATTCTGCCTATCCAAGAGCAAGGGAGATCTTTCCATCTTCTAAGGTCTTCTTTGAGTTCTTTCTTTGGGGTTCTGTAGTTTTCATTGTATAGATCTTTTACCTCTTTTGTTGATTCCCAAGTATTTTATTTTATTTTATTCATTTTTTTGAGGCTATTGAGAATGGGGTAGTTTTCCTCATTTCCCTTTCTGAGGATTTGTCACTGGTACACAGAAATGCCTTTTTTTTTTTTTTTAAATGGGTGTTGATTTTATATCCTGCTACTTTGCTGAATTCGTTTTACTAGTTCAAGAAGTTTTCTGGTGGAACTTTTAGGGTTCCTGGTATAGAATCATATCAAGAGCAAATAGTGCCAATTTGAGTTCTTCTTTTCCTATGTGTATCCCTTTAATTTCCTTGGTCTAATCTCTCTGGCCAGTATTTCAAAAGAATTATGTTAAATAGAGGTGGTGAAAGAGGGCATCCCTGTCTTGTTCCAGTTTTTAGAGGGAATGCTTTCAATTTTTCTCCATTTAGAATGATGTTGGCCTAAGGCTT